TTTTTTTTTTTTTTTTTTGAGACAGAGTTTCACTCTGTCACACTGGGTAGAGTACCATGGCATCATAGCTCACAGCAACCTCAAATTCTTGGGCTCAAATAATCCTCTTGCTTCAATTCAGCCTTCTGAGTAGCTGGGACTATAGGTGACCACCACAACTCCTGGCTAATTTCTCTATTTTTAATACCGAGGGAGTCTTGCTTTGCTCAGACTGGTCTCAAACTCCTAAGCTCAAGCAATCCATTTGCCTTGGCTCCCAGGGAGCTAGGATTACAGATGTGATCCACTGTACCAATGTATTGTTTTGAAATTGAAGATAGTTCTCAAAAATAAAAAAACACTGGGGTGGTGCCTATGGCTCAGTGAGTAGGGCGCCAGCCCCAAATACCAAGGGTGGTGGGTTCAAGCCTGGCCCCGGCTAAACTGCAACAACAACAACAACAACAAAATAATAATAATAAATAAATAAACACTTGTAAGTCAATGAATAAAAATCATTGTGTGCTTTGGGCTTTATTCTATCCCACCTAATTCATAATACATATTTAAGTCTTACCTCCAATGTGACTATTTGGAGATAAGGCTCTTACCTAGGATATACTTAGGGTTAAATGAGATCATAAAAGTGAGGCCTTAATCTAACTGAACTGGTACTTTAAAAGAAGAGGAAGAACAAAAATAAATGAGAAACTGAAAAGCTTCTGTAGGAGAGAACAGCCACAGCAAATAGATAATCTTCAGAATGGGAAAAGATATTTTCACATTATGAATCAGACAAAGCCTTAAGAACTAGGATCTATACAGAACTCAAATTAAGCGACAAGAAAAAGCTAACAATCCCATAGATTACTAGGTGAGTGACATGAATAAAACATTCTCTAAGATGAATGGCTAACAAACATATGAAAAAAATGCTCATCAAACTTAATCATCAGAAAAATGCAAATCAAAACCACCCTGAGACATCACCTAACCCCAGTAAGATTAGCCCACATCACAAAGTCCCAAAGCTGCAGATGCTGGTACGGATGTGGAGAGAGGGGAACATTTTTACACTGTTGGTGGGACTACAAACTAATATAGCCTCTATAGAGGAAATAAGTATGGAGAATCCTCAAAGAT